CACACACACACACACACACACACACACACACACAGATAGAGAGGGAGAGAGAGCAACAGAAAGAAATAAAGAGAGATAGAGAGAAAAAAATAGATAAGAGCATGGTGTTTTGTGAGGTAACCTGAAATCCCTGGCCCTTTCTTACATCAAAAGAGCTCACAGCTAAGCCGGGCCAGGCTGAAGGCATTAGGAAGGTGTCAGCAACAGCACAGAGGCAAGAGCCAGGGGTGGCCACCACCAGTGTCAGGAGAGATCTCTCCGGACTTAACTCTTAAGCCAGGCAAAAGGGGGCCTGGGCAATACGGTAGTGGTAATCAGGGCGCTGTGCTGGGAAAGGGAGGAAGTACGGACACTATGTTGGAGTCTCTGTCTTCCTTTTTTTTTTTTTTTTTTTGGCCTACTTCTTAAACTTTATGAAAAAGTAAACCGGCACCAGATCAGTTGTGTAGCAGTTTGGCTCTCTGCCGTTGCACACAATAGGTTTGAGTTCGATTCCCGTGTGAAGAAAAGTTTTATCATCGACCACATTGGTCTTTGCTCGGACGCTGTATCCCTCTCAGCCCGGGTTGGCCCTGAGAGGCATGCTCGAAATCCGCCTCCTAAATGATCTAAATTGTGTCAATGGGGGCGTAAAATCCTACTTTTTTTTTAAAGAACACAAAAAACCGCTTGTGTTTGGAACATCCCCCAGTTTTTTTCTTTATCTTTAAATAAAAGAAAAAAGCAAACAAAAACAAAACAACAACATACACACATACACACAAAAGTAAAACCCCAAAACTATAATAATAACAACAACAACAACAACAACAAAACAACAACAGCAACAATGACAACAACAACAACAAAGGAATACAAAAGAGCATGCCGACCACATCAGAGCTCTGGCCAACCACTTGTTACGCCATAATAGCTAGACTTATCCTGAAAGAAAAAACCCCCCGCCTGCATAGTAACTCTGTCAATTATCAACTTTTCCCCCCTCGAATTTTGAAAATATAATGGCGCTATAGGTGTTTGTATCAACCTTTTTTCCCCCCCGAAGTCTGTGAATAAAACGGCGTAACTGACAATGACTGAAGACGATGTTAGCGAGCTCAAGGACGCTACACGTTGACGCTCGGTACAAGAACTACAACATAAACATTCAAATTCATTCAACTTTTTCTTTCAACAACATCGCCGTTGGGTTACGTTAAGGTCAAGGCAGACAGCGCGTAAATCTCAATGGGAGCAGGTTGGTGGACAGGGTGGGGAGGGGGTGGGGGTGGGG